TCTCTGAAAATGTATCTCTTCAGGGAAGCCTATCCTGCCTTCAGCTAATAACAGAATCTTCTATTTCTTCTATCAGTTCATCCCCCACAGTTATTACCTTTTTGTACCACCAGCCCCTCCCTCTTAGGTTGTAAACTCCAAGGAGCAAGGCCCTGCTAATCCTCTTGTATTGAACTGTATTATCTCCCTTTATATTGTAAAGCACTAAGCAAACTGTTGACACTATATAAATCCTGTATAATAACTATTAGGAATTCCTTTTTACTCCCCTAAGGGAGCTAAGGGACAGGAAGTGATTGCAAATCTACCAAACAGGTACACAGATGGAATAATCCTTCCTTACTCTATCTACTGTAACCCTTTTGCTGCCAGGTCTGTACATCATACAGACATGACAGCAGGAGGTTTTACACACACTCCCAGTGGCTGGGTGTAAATCTGACAAGGTGACTTCTGGCCATCAGTTAAAAGCAGTCCAGCGCCTCTAGATTGCTTTCATATCCCCCACACCTACACCCCTGCCATGTATCCTGGGTTCTGTTTGCCCATCTGCAGGCCTAGGACTGGCATAGCGGGTGCCGCTAGGTAAAGGGAAGAGAGCAGAGCGGACAAATGTCCGCTATCCTCCCCTTCCTGTTGCTGACCCAGAAGTGACGTGTAAAACGTCACTTCCAGGTCCCATGGTTAGTTTCCCTAGCCAGTATGGCCAGGAAAGAATGTATTGCAATGCCATCTGCATTGCATTACACTCAGTGGTGCACAGGGGCGACATCCAAGGTCTAAAAGACTCATTAAAGAGAACCTGTCACCAAAAAAATCAACACATATAGATGTGATGAAAAAAAAGGTAACAACTAAAATATATATATATTTTTTTAATATTAAAGCTTCCATTTTTTATTAAAATAATAAACATATTTTACTTACCTGCTCCATGCCATGGTTTGTGTGGTTGTAAATGGGGTTCATTTGGAATAGAGGCCCTTCACTATTGGTATACCATAGGACTCTGTAGTAGGTTCTGTTCTAGTTAATCTATATGTAAGTGATATAACTAAAGGTTTATTGGGCAAGCTGTGTCTTATGCTGATGATGCAAAGGTGTGTAATAGGGTTGATATCAATGGACGTGTCTGTACCATGGAACATGATTTAGCATTTCTGGAAGATTGGTCGAAGAAGTGGAAGCTGCTCTTCAATTTTTCTAAATGTAAAATAATGCACCTAAGAAAAAAGAATCCCTTGAGAGAATACAACATCGGGGGTATAGTGTTTGGCCAGCATTACAGAGGTAATGGATTTGGGGAAAATTATTTCAGATGATTGCAAAATGAACAGTGTGACCAGGCAGTGGGGAAAAAGCAAATAGAATTCTAGGATGCATCACTAGAGGGGTCACCAGCAGGAGGAAGGAGGTCCTGATTCCCCTATATAGATCTTTAGTGAGTGCCGATTTAGAATACGGTGTCCATTTCTGAAGCCCTCACTTACAAAAAGATATTGATAAGATAGAATGAGTCCAGAGATGGGTAACAAAAATGGTGAAAGGTCTGGGGGATAAAACATATCAAGAGAGACTTCAGGAACTTAATATGTACAGTCTGGAGGAAAGGGAAAGGGGAGACATGACTGAAACCTTTAAATACATCAAGGGTGTGAATAAGGTTCAGGAAGGCAATATTTTCAATATGAAACCAAAATCACAAGCACGAGGACATGACCTCAAACTAACTGAGGAGAGCTCAAAACTAATCTTAAAAAGTATTATCTTACTAAAAGAGTAGTTGATGCTTGGAATAAAATTCCAGCAGAGTTAGTGAGCCAGTCAACAGAGGTCTATACTCAGACGAAAATCTTAACAAAAAAAAAAAAAAAATATATATATATATATATATATATATATATATATATTTTTACACACACACAAAAAGAAGGGCACAAACAAAAAACTGGGCAGACTTGAAATGTGTGACACAGCAGTGCCTACTCACAGAGCATAGTGAATACGTGTCACAGAATTCAATGAAGCAACTGTGTGGGGATCTTCAGAAAGTAAAAATTCAAAAATGTAAATCTTGTTTGAATTATTACCTAGAAATTATTGAGATACAATGTGGAATTAAATATGCGATTTTACAGTTTGACAACACATTCTTCAGAGCTCTTTTACTGCCACTTATAGTCATAGGCGAGCGGAACATGTCTCTCACGGAACCAATAAACATGCTCTATGCCCGGTAGAAAATATAAAAATATATCCATATCCATAATTTGGGCACATGTGCAATTTAAAGCGGTTCTAAAGATTGTAATTTTAAAAAAACAAAACAAATATGTTATACTTACCTGCTCTGTGGAATGCGCAGAGCAGCCCCGTTACTCTTCTTTTTGGGTCCCTTACCGGCAGCCCTGGCTCTTCCCACCTGCTGAGAGCCCCCAATTGCAAGCCTCTTGATATGGGAGTACTTGAGCAGGCTCACTCCTGAGCCACACTCCTGTATATGGACATTTTTCATTCACACACAGAGAGTGGCCTGGCCCCACCCCCCGCTCTCATGCACATTGAGAGAGACAAGGGAAAGCCACGGCTCTCATGCACATCACTGGATAGAGAGGGGGCTCAGGTAAGTAGAATGCACCAAGGTAAAAAAAAATCTTCTGCCTTTAGAACTACTTTAAAGGTGATCTCTGGAATTTTGTTAACCTCTCCTCTAACTGATCGCTGGATTTTATTTAAAAAAAAAAAAAAGAACACTTTAAGGAGGATGTCCAGCAGCGGGGGTACTCTCAAGATCCAGAAGAGGAGTGAGATCAGCACACAGGGGGACTGGATGGTGATGGACCATCTGCATCGATGGGTTAGCAGTTCCCAATACCTGGAAACAACATCAGTGAAGGAACTGGAATTAGGCAAGTATTACCTTCTTCACCAGCCATGGAAAAATAAACAAAACAATTGCAAGATGGGTGGGGGGGTTAAAAATCTTGCTAATCAGTGCTGTACATGCATGGGATTTGATTGTACAAAATAACAATATCACTGTGAAGGTGTTAGCTCATAGGTGTGATCTCCAAGCATTAATGACATGCTTTTAGGATATTTGTCACAGGAGCTCATAACTAAACTGAACATGCACACCATGCATGGTAGCACAACTACACCACAGTAAAAAGCATTACTGATCAAGAATCATAAACGTATAAAAGCTGATTATTGATCAGGTTGTTATGAGTCACTGTATGCTTTACACAGCATAGACATGCAATGCAGAAGATCCTGACGGTAGACCACCCCTTTCACCCTTCACAAAATGTAACACATTCTGTCAGTAGGGAAGAGGAATACAGGGTTATGTCATTCACAACCCTAAAAAAGCAACACTTGTAACTTTTGTTGCATTACTCACCTCTTCCCTGGCTCTGTCCTGTGAAGACTCACTGCTCTGAGGTCCAGCAGTGGTGCTCTTCAATGCTCTCACTTCCTGAGAGCCCAGGCTGTTATGGACAGGGACTCAACATGCTGGCTTGGTCTCAGAGTACTGCTGCATAGAATGGCACTCATACTTTATTACATGCAGTTCAGTGTAGGATTAAAGAGGAGCTTCAGTCTGCCCCCAAAAAAATTAAAAGTCAGCAGCTACAAATACTGTAACTTTAGACTTTTAATATAAGGACACTTACCTGTCCAGGAATCCAGTGTTGTCCTCACCCGAGCCGATTCTCCAGTCAGCTTCAGGTCCCTAGTGCTGGCATCTTAAATAAGGAAAACCAGCCATCAAGGAGGATTCCCCTGTCCACCTCAAATGTGTGGATGGGGGAATCCTCCTCACTGCTATATTGTGTTCTGATAGAAGGGGAGACTGTCTCGCCGTCAGAACACACTGATCAGCATTGCAGGCTATAGCCGGCGGCGCTGATTGAGTGGGGAAAACCCAACAGAGCAATTATAGAGGTCAATTGTCAGCTTCTCTACAACCTCCCTGCCCATACAGGGATTGAAATTCGGCCAGTCCCTGCTGAAGTGGATACATTTTGATCCATATATGGCCGGCTTTACTCCTCTCAACCCACAAACAGGAAAGGATGTGATGTCACAGGAAAGAACCTGTAAAATGAATAGACATTTAACACACAGCTATGCACATCAATGGAAGGCAGTGTAAATTTAGATTTAAAGATTCTTTAAGGGTTTTAATGCATGTTTATGTGTGAACAGGCCCTAACTGGATTCCCTCCATCGTGCTTTGAATACATTTTCTGGCGGAAGGAAGTGTGTGCAAAACAAATTGGTCTGGCCGCAAAATGGTTAATGGATCCCTCTCTTCATTTCTCAGTGTGTGAAGAAAACACTTGCCTGTGTCCCCTCCAGAATCTTCCTTTCCTTCACCCACCACCATGTGAACCTGAGGAGTTGCTGCATGGTAAGTCCCCAGCACATACAACACACCATTCTGATTGTATACACCTTGATAAGGCCTGGTCTCCTAGTTACTGCTCAGTTCAATACACGTCTACTACTCCTATGGAGGGAGAAAGGTCCGCTCTACCTCATACTCAGTTCCCTCACCTTCAGCACACACTATCACACCATAACTGTTTGCGCTCCAAAATCTGCGTTCCAGTGCAACACGCTCTGACTTCCGCACGCACCCTCCTCCGCCTTCCTATTGGTTTTCTACCGGGCGTAGAGCATGTTTATTGGTTACGTGAGAGACATGTTCCGCTCGCCTATGACTATAAGTATTCTCGTTGGCCCGTACAGTGGGCGTGTTCAAATAGTGCCGCACTTCCTATATTACCATTGGTCCCCTTTGTCAGTGGTTGGTACGAACAAGTTGGTGATTGGCCGCTGTGCTGAAGTCATATTGAATATTCCTATTGGCTGAACTGAGGCCTGTAGCGTCTTTGTTATTTGTCGTTGTGACTTAGGGAGCTCTGCTATTGGCTGAGAGCTTCTTCTCGTTCATCCCGAGCTTGGAAGCAGCAGCAGCCGTCTCAGTCATGAGCTCCGTCACTATCAGTTCGGCTCCGGTGGTCACCGTCCGCGTCAGCAGCAGCCTGAACTCGTTCACGGCAGAGAAGAGGCTGGACAGAGGGCTGACTCTGGCGGAATTGAAGGTGTGGAGGGGGATAAAGGCCCTGAGGGAGACATGTGATAGCTGGGGGGGGGGGGGGGGGGCGGGGCTGGTTCGGGTCAGAAGGTATTCAGTGTGATGCTGAGTAAGGGGGTACAGTCACTCCAGGGGTGTGTGTGTTGTGTTCAGTGCAGGGGCTGCCTTGCAGTCAGCAGCTTGGAGCTCCTCATTGGGGGGAGTGTACAGTTGTTGCACCCGCCCCCCCCCCCCATCCTCATTATAGGCCCCAGAGGTGAGGGGACCCAATCCCACCAGCTCAATCACAATATTCCCAACCAACACCTTCCTGAAATTTTCTGTAGATGTACATGGGTGCTGCAGTGACTGCCAGCTGGGATCCAAAAATGTCCAAAGCAAGAAGTGTGTCACCAGCACTGCGCGGATCACCAGAATGGGTCCAAAGCATTGTCTGGTGACCACATCTTAGTTCCAGTAGTGACTCTTCAGAGCCATGCAGGAGCCCTTCATCAGCATCATGTATGGTGTGTACAGGGCACATCGAGAACAATTGTTTTCTCTATATCCTTGCTTGATCCTGACAGACCCAACACAAGGACAGATTGCCCAGTTCACACCACTTGCTGACCGTTCACAGTACTTTTACTGGGACATATAAATGGAATGACCGAATGGAATGCCCTTAGAGAATAAATCTTTAGCAGACATACTCTCCAGGTTCAGTGGTGATGTTTAAAATTGAGGTGAAGTGGGATTAATATTGTTTTCTAAGGAACGAGGATGAATGACCAAAAGGAATGGCCATACATTATATTGGAAAGCAAGATGTGTTTGCAGTCAAAACCATTAGGTGTATAAGAGAAAAAAAACGTTAGTGGACGTACTCTTCAAATTCAGTGGTGATGTTTACAATTGAGATTAAGCAGGATTATCGTTGCTTTCTATGGAACAACAAGGTGAATAACAAGAATGTCCATTGAATATAATGGGAAGCAAAATATGAGTGTATTTGCAGAAAAGTCTGTGCCATGTAGAAAATTAACCTTTACCACAGTGTGTTCCCCAAGTAGAGTAGCAGATTGTAAAATTGCAATCACCTGGAAATAAATTCATATATTGCTTCCCACTGTACTCTCTGGGAGTTCCCTTCTGTCATTCACCTTTTGTCTTTCCTTAGAAAACTATAATAATCCAACTTCATCTTAATTTTAAACATCACAACTGACCTTGGAGAGTATGTCTGCTAAGGATTTATTAGGCACGTTGAATGGTTCTGACTCCAGGTCATATTTTACTCTATGGGCATTCCTTTGTGTCATTCAGCTTTGTCTTTCCATAGAAAACCGCTATAAACCCAAATAATTTTAATCTTACAATCTGCTACTCTGCTTGGGAAACACCTGTGGTAAAGATTACATTTCTGTTTCTCAGATTTGCCTGCAAATTAGTTTATATTTTGTTTTCCATTCTCTATGGGCATTCCCTTCTGTTCCATTTCTCTCTATGGGCATTTCATCCCCCTGATAAATACGGGCATTCCATTCTGTCACTCCTTTTAATATGTCCCCTTTTACAGTGGGCGGCATGTACAGGCAGAGCGACGTACTACTGCACAGACTCCCCCTATGTGATCACAATGTCAGCAAAGCTGTTATGAATCAATATGAACCTTTGCTTCCCTTGCTAGTGACCTGTGATTGGCCCACAGCTCTCACATGGTACCTGGGCCAATCACAGCACCCTGTACAATGTAATTAGCTGTAGCCAGTCACAGATCACTAGTATTCTGAACTGTCATGAACTTAACCCATTCATGACCGTTCAAAGCATTGCTAGTGCAATCAATAATCTTTATTGACCTGCAAGTAACACTGAACTGTTCTAATGAAAGTAGTATTTGTAAAAAAAATACCAAGATAGATTGCAGCCACAACTGCCAGAAGAATTGTTTGGGATACAAAGAAAAACTCACAGGTAATCTCAGGAGAAATACAGACTGTTCTGGAAAAAGACAGTGTGGTTGTTTCAAGGAACACAATATGACGGTACTTTTAACAAAAATAAGTTGCATGGTCAAGTTGCCAGAAAGAAGCCTTTACTGCGGCAACGCCAAGAAAAGCCCAGTGAGGCATGTCAAGGTGTTATATGGTATATTGTAACAGGGCTCTTTTGTAGTACATCCTCATATGCATAACTTTCTCTGCCTGCCTCAGCCAGTCAGAGTGGGGGCCAGGTGACTAGTAGATCATGCCTTCAGCTTGCCAAACCACTGTCCCCACAGCATCAAGCACCATGGATTATTTATGTCATTTGCAGCTGAGCAGGCGCCACCCATAGAGGAGAAGGCGGACATGGACTGAGCAAGCGGCTGCATCAGCTGCTACCTCCTGTAGTTCCAGCTGCAGTATAAGGCAGAATATCTACTGCATTCCGCCTCTTAACCCTGCTAACCAGAGCAGTGTCTGCAGGAGCTGCAAGATGGAGAGAGGAGCTCTGTGGTGCACTGAAAGTGGGCTCTCCACTCTCTTGCATTAACTTCATCAGGTCAGAGAGTTTGCACAATACTGAAATGGCCATAATAGCATCTAAAACTCTGTTACTATTTTAGGGGGCTGTTACAATTTTCAGGGGTGGTTAAATGTTTTTACCACCCCTCCCAACTGCATTTCCTTTAGCTGCAGTGACCAGGGTTGTACACATGGCTGCAGCAGGAATTATACACCCTGTCACGCTTGTTGGGTGTAGCTCCCACCAAGCATGACCCATTCAAGTGAATAAAGCTGCTCTGCCATCTTTTGCAGTACAGCAACCAAGGGGTTAAAGTAGGCATTGAGGAGGCGTTGTACCGCCACCTCGTCACCTGCAATAACCCATTTGACCCCCACACAATCACGCAGTTGCGGGGCACTTGCAGAGTGGCTCTATTTACTTGAATGGGTCGCAGTTGTTGGGGGGTAGCACCCTCTAAAAGCAACTGGGGGAATAATGTATGCTGTGACATGTGTACACCCTTGGCTGCTGCCCTACTGACGCCATCCATTGCTCTGCTGACTGACCCTGTCCTACTGACACCAACCTCTGCCCTACTGTCACTGTCCACACACCGTCCCCTGCTTTACTGACTGACACTGTCCACTTTTAAGGTAGGCTAAGTTTATATTTTTACAGTGACATCTGTTTTATTATATTTTTTCTACATTTTCCTTACTATTTAATTAGGTCTTGGTAGTTAATTTCTAAAATAAAAAAAAAAAAAAAATGGCACTGGTGATCTTTCATGTTGTTTAGGTAGATCTTCACCTCTCAAAGGTTGCCTACCCCAATAATGGAGAATCCAAAGTTGCTTATGGGTAGCTGAGAGACACTCAGCCCAACTCTATTTTGTTTAGGGTGCAGGACAGGAATGCTTCATCTCACTGCCGGAACACAGCACTGTATGTAGCTGAGGCTGTATACAGTTTATAGAGCATATCCGGCTGGCACACCTTTTTAGTGTGGGAAATAATTGGTTTGAGCCAGCTTGGCCCAAACAATTTTAAATTGACAGTAAAGCAGGAAATCAGCTTTACGTGTACAACATGGGGAACAGGCTTGCTATTCATTGCATAGGCAAAGCATAGGTTATGTTTAAAGATAATCTGGGCAAAATGACAATCTTTGGCAGATAAAACCGGCAGAATTGCATTTTTAAAGTATGCTTTATGTGGCTTATATATTTGATTTTATCAATTGAAAACTAATTAATAGGTTTGTAATGTCATTGCAGTGTAAACTAGAACTGGTGGTTGGGTCTCCGGCCTCTTGTATGGACTTAAAGTTATACAGTACAGACAATACTTTTATCCAGAACTTGGACCAGGATGATGCACTACTAGGCTCTTACCCTGTGGATGAGGGCTGTAGAATTCATGTGAGTAACTGCTCCAACTCCAGAGGTGTCACTATGCAAGTTTTAAGAATACATTGATTTTAAAGATAAAGTTGTAAGTAACTTTTCTTTGTTTACAGGTGATAGATAAGAGTGGTGCTAAAGTTGGGGAATTTGAAGATCTGTCCAGAGTGGAGAAATATGAAATTTCAGATGATGCCTATGACAAACGATCAGGTTAGCAGGAGAGTGGAAATGTTTTCAAAGTCTTCTTGTCCAAGGGACTTAATCGAAGTCCCAATCTACTTGTCCCTCAATACAATCTACTTGTCCTGATTAAAAAAAAAAAAAAAAAAAAATTCCCAGAATGGAAAATACAAAGAGTTGATTTTTATTTATTGCTTTTATGTCTAGGGCTTTTAAAAATGAAAGGGGCTGCATGGCGACTTAAACTTTTTAATATTTTTTATATTTTTGCTAGAAGATGTATTTGAACTCCCATCCTTTTTCTTTTTCTTTTTTTTTTAAAGCAGAGGCCCTAAAGAATTACCTGGTGGGTTTTGCAATTTTTTTTTGTCACACGGCATTTGCACAGCAGTTTTTCATACAAATTTTTTTTTAAATACACTTTTTGGAATTTTAATGCAAAAAAACACAACATAGGACCCATTTTTTTGGTAAGATATAAAAGATGACGTTATGCCAAGTAAACAGATACTAAACATGTCATGCAATGGCTCCATTTGTTGCCATTGCATACACCCATGCAATGGCAACAAACGGCGTAAATTTTACTAGCCATAGTTGATGCTTTAATCGCTTTTACAGGTTACCACTTTAGATTTACACAGGAGATCTGGTGCTAGAATTACTGCCTTCGATCTGAATTGCAGGTTGATACCTTACGTGTGTGTAACAATTGCTGTTTGCATACATGCAAGACTGACGCATGCATTCATTTTTGCACGCGAGCATGGGGGGATAGGGGTGCTTTTAAAATAATTTTATTTATTTTGACACTGTCGCTTTAATTTTTTTTAATTGCATTTATTGCTATCATGAGGAATGTAAACATCCCATGTGACAGCAAGAGGCAGTGATAAGTACTCTTTATGGAGAGATCTGGGGTTAATAAGACCCCATATCCCTCCTCTGCCCTGAAAAGCATTTGATCACACCAAGATCAGTGTAATCAAATGCTTTCCATTTTTTAAAATGCTGCCGTTTCCATCCGGTAAAGTGATGTATGCTCATCGCTTCCTGTTTCCAATATCATAGAAACGGAGTGGTGCTGGTCTTTGTCGACCTCTATGATCAGCCAGCAGAAGCACTGCCTGGTTGTTCGGGTGTCCCGGATTGGACAGGGTTTGTACAAGGCTGCAGATAACAATAACTGAATTATAACAACAAACATAAATTAAAAATGTAAATAAAAATAAAATAAAAAATATATTATCTGCACATATTAATCATATATTACCAACAAAAAAAATAAATATATAAAAAAAGTAAATAAAATAAAAATTAAAAAATAATACAAATATTTATCTCCAGAGAACAATAATAAGATTATCAGATAAATAGAAAATAATAAAAAATATCAAAATGCAAATATAAATAAATATGGATATATTTTATACAAATAAATTATTTAATACATAAAATCTGCAGATAACAATCAATAATAAACAAGATTAATAAAAAATAGAATAAAATACAAAATTAAAAATAAAATAATAAAAATAAATATATATTCTGCAGAGAACTGTAATCAGATAATGACTACTACAATAAATACAAATATTAATAGAAAATCTAAATAAATTCATAAAAAAAAAAGTCCTGCCTCTCACTGGTCCAGTCCTGCCCCCCTGCTGCCCATTGGCAGAGAGTGCTGCCAGTCAGAGCCAAGTGTTCTCCATATGGCTGCCCTGCCCTGATTGCATTCTTATGGAGAGCTGCTGGACATGGAGAGCACCTGGCTCTGATTGGTAATGGACAGCGGGAGGGGGGTTGTTACTGGACCGGAGCTTGCCTCTGACAAGCAGAAGGGGGGTGGGTTCCACAGATGTCTGGACAGCCTGCAAACGCCCCCCTCTCCTCCCCTGGGGACGCCCCTCCCTGGAGCTGCTTTCAGATCTCTTTTACGAGTGCCAACCGTTGGCTCTAAACCCTGCTGCTTGCCCCAGCAGTGCTATTTGTAAAAAACGTCTTGCCCAGCGTCCGACACTGCATGCGTCAGGCGATAGAAATTCAACATCCCTGGCTTAGACATTTTAAAATGAGATGTAAATCCCAATAGAACAACGTTTGCTTTGTTGAATCAGTTTATCATCTACAATTTCCATTTTTTTGTAATACAGTTTACACCTTTTTTTCATCTGTTATTATATATCAATGCTGCTAATCTTCTGCTGCCTTTTTGCACCCACTTCCTGCCTACATGTACTCCAGCGAAAGCTGCATTTCATTTCTCAGGGTGAGTTTGCTGATGGTGACAACAGTAAACAATGCCATCATAATCTATTCTGGAATGGCCACTTGTAGTCTCCATAAGAAGAGTGGCAACACAGGACCACAGCTGGGAGACAGGAACCAGCATTTATTTCATGAATGCTGCAGATTTAAATACATCACAAATTATATTTCAAATTGCATTGACATGTTAAAGGTTATCCAAGATATTGGCCACATTTTCTGCTTTTTGTTATCGTAACTTTTGATACATCAGGAATTGTGGGGGCGGTTATCGTATACTTTTGATACATCAGGTGTGGGATAACACAAAATGTATTAGCTGATACAGAAGTTTTAATGATTCATTAGCCTCTACGGTACAAAATCTTTAACATAGCCATAGATGTAGGAAAATAGTCCCTCAATCTGAGTACTCTGAGCTAAATCAGGCATAATCTCATGTCTGCTGGCCTTGCAGAAAATAATGGCCAACCTTTCTTAACCATTTGCCTACTGGGCACTTATACCCCCTTCCTGCCCAGGACAATTTTTGGCTTTCACTTTGAATGACAATTGAGCGGTCATGCAACACTGTGCCCATTTGAATTTTTTTTTCACACAAATAGAGCTTTCATTTGGTCGTATTTACTCACCACTGGGTGTTTTATTGTTTGCGCTATGAACAAAAAAGAGCAAGAAAATTGAAAAAAAAATGTTTTTCTTTGTTTCTATTATAAAATTTTGCAAACAGGTAATTTTTTCTCCTTCACTGACGTGCGTTGATTAGGCAGCACTGATGGGTGGTACTGACTGACATCACTGCTGGGTGGCACTGCTGGGAACTGATCATCAATGCCAATCCGTCCTCTGACAATTGCCTGTTATCAACAGTACTTTCCTCACGCTGTCACAGCGTGAGGAAAGTGCAGCCGATCATATGACGCCCTCCCAGAACTGGACAATCGTGCTGTAGCCGTCATTCAGCTATAGCGCGGTTGGCAAGTGGTGAAGCTGGCCATAGACTTTTTTTTTTTTTTTTTCTCCCATTCAGCCTGTGAGTGGATGGAGGAATCCCTCTGCCGGGACATTGTATCCTGATAGCAGAATATTTTGCTGTCAAAATACACTGATCACCTTCTACAACCACTGGTCAATAAAGGTTTTCCACTATCAAATGATCGACTTCTGTCAAGCAGGGTTGGTCACACACTGATGGAATTGGGCCAGTCCCTGCTGAACCAGCCAAATTTCAATACATGTATGGCCAGCTTTAAATGGAGCATTTGAGTGGACAGTTTGGCTTGGCTTGGCTGAGCTAAAACAAATTATACGGTGCCCTCTAAAGACTTTTTTTTTTTCTTTTTCTTAGAGCAAACACTATGTGCATTTAGTTCAGGCAGGAAATAAGAGACTCTTTTTAAGAAATGTCAGAGCAAAGGTGTCACCCTTGGGTCCCTTTCATACCACAACACTATGTGCTGTGACGCTGTATCATTCAGTGACACGTGTTACAGTGTGTTAAACAGCCCAAAATGAAAGAGCTGAAAACACACTCCAAGGCATATGAAAATGGGCAAAGTTGCTTTTTCTCAAATAGAAAGAAAACAAACAGGGCGCACCGGCCTAGTGCATTACCTTAAAAAACATTTATCAAAGCGATAAAAGTAGGTATTGTACTCACAAACAACAATATGTCAAAGGCACATCATGAAAGAACAGCTCTGTCCAATCCGCACTACGTGTGTATCTGCAATGGGAACCAATGTTCATGCGTTTCGAGGACTTGCCTCTTCCTCAGAGCCAACCGGATTTGTGCACCAAAGTAGCAATGCCACAGCATTAGATAGGTTGTCACTAGTGATCCTGTTATTTTATACATTGGTACCATTGATAAAGTCTTTAACGTGAAATGACCATTAGAGCATTGGTGCAACCCCAACTGATAGCTTTACAAGACACTATCCATTAAAGTTGATTAAAGCTGAAGTCTTGTAGTTATGTGGTATGTAGCACTGGTACCACCGTTAGGTTTTTGTTTGTAATTACTGTGTGGTGTTGTTTCTTGGGTTTGGCATACTTTTATCTATGTATACAGGAATGTTCTTCAAATATGTCTCTACTCCCTGTAGACTCAGTACGGTCTTTCCTAAAGAGGAATATGATGGGAAAATTCAACGAGGCGGAGGCAGCTCAGAAAACAGCAGAACAGCAGCATAAGCTAGAGGAGGAGAGGCTGGCAGCTGGGTCAATTACAATAGGATCTCGATGTGAGGTGCGAGTGACTGGACAGCCTACTAAGCGGGGCACAGTTATGTTTGTTGGTGAGTAATCAGCCTTGGGATTGCACATAAAAATGGTTTCTGGAGATTCATGAGTTTATATCCCACATAAATCTGTTAATCTGAAATCTAAAACTTTTCACGCCTTAAGCACTGAAGAGGTTTTTTCACTCAACATGATCAGATCCAAGAAGAAAAATCAGCCTGTTGTTGGTTGGTATTGCTGTTTGTATGAAAAAAGCTCCTATCTCAAGGTCAAATTAAACCTGAACTCTGGACAAGTTATCATTTGTCACACATCATTACTTTCTTTTCCTGTGTAGAATTTAAAGTGTTACTAAACTCAGAACCTTGTATTCTGTCTAGTCTCCCACAGCACACACTACATGTAAATGCAATTATTTTAGTAAATATAAACTGCTAAATACCATTTCTCATCAGCCATTAGAGCAGTCCTGTGACTTCTATCAGCGCTTGCAGAGCACTGGTTACAGCTTGTAGGAGGAGTTTTCTTTTTGCTCTAGGACAGGGGTCTGCAACCTTTAAGACATAAAGAGCCACTTGGACCCGTTTCCGAGAGGGGAAAAAAAGACTGGGAGCCGCAAAACCATTGCAACATTTAAAACAAATCCGACACTGCATATATTGCAAAAAGCGCTCTGGTCATGAAGGGGGTTTAAGGGCCCAGTAAGCAAAGGGTTAATCAGGACCACAGTGTATCGTCATAATCACAATCATAGCCTTAGGTCAGTGGTGGGCAACCTTTTCAACTGAGCCAAATCTCGCCAAAACCACGATTAAATTTTATTTTGAGAGCCACATTTTTAAAAACTGAAAATACATCCCCCATATAGTAATTCATCCCCCCTATAGTAATTCATCCCCCATATAGTAATTCATCCCCCCTATAGTAATTCATCCCCCCCTATAGTAATTCATTCCCATATTGTGTCAATTCACTTACCTGTACTCCGCGCGTTCCTCTCGCCGTGTTCCCGCGCAGTTCTGGTCTTCAGGGCGGACTGTGAGAGGAGAGGAGTTCGTCACGCTGCCCCGCCTACATCCTGACAGCCAATGTTTGCCACGCTCCGCGGGTCGGATTATAAGGTCCGCCGGGCCGTAGTTTGCCCATTGCTAGGCTAGCTGCAGAGTCCTGACTTTTGGGGCGGCCGCCCGAGAGGAGGGAGGGGGAGCGGGCGCCCCGGCACACAGAAGAGCTGCATTAACCTCCCTGGCGGTATGATTCCTTCCGATTTTTTGTGCTGAAAGCGGTACCATTTTTTCGCATGGAAATAGTTTTTTATTGTAGGCTGTAATTTTTAGGAAAATTTCCCCACAAATCATCACTCAATTCTGCAAGTGGTTCTGATTTACTATCGCTGTTCTCTAGCCGGTCTAAAACCGCTTTTGACCTAAAGGGACGCTTTTTGGACGCCATGGACTTTTCTAAGTTTCCAGGCAGAAAGAACAGACAAAATGCAGGCAGGGCACAGGACAAAGCACTAGGGACAAAATGTATGTGAAATGGGATGAAACAGCAATGTTTTACTATTGAAAATTGAAAAAAAAAAAAAAGACATTTTTTAAATTTTTTTAAATTTCCCGCCGCCGGCGGCGCCCGTACGTCCCGACGTCACGGGGACTGGAACACAGAAGCCGGATGCCGGCATCGGCCAGAGGAGATGGCCGGGGACGCTGCAGGGGACACATCGCGGGAACGAAGGACAAGGTAAGTGCTGCAGGGACCCCCAGATCAGTGCCGCATGGTAAGCCCGAGTGTAGCTCGTGGTATAGAAATTCTACCACGAGCTACACTCGGGAAAACCGCCAGGGAGGTTAGAAGAGCCGCGGCTTGCCGACCACTGAGCTACGGCAACCCTATTGCCTGTCACCTGGTGGGCAGTGTGCTCCGGAGCCGCAGCAAAGGTGAGAAAGAGCCGCATGCGGCTCTGGAGCCGCGGGTTGCCGACACCCGCTCTAGGAGGATGCAGTACCCCTGACCTCTGTCTGGACAGTGCTGATTGGGCCTGTGCTGATCATAGGCACTCTCCCAATGGAAAAAAAAAAAAAAAAGGTTGGGGTTTTACTAGCAATACACACCAAACTGAGCATGTCTGTACACGATATATCTTATCAAGAGATAAGAGAGGAACACACGGAAGAAGGGAAAAATCAGAGAAATTAGGATCAAACAGCATATTTAAACAATGAAAAGGATTAACACCTTAGGTTTCACAGTGAGTATATCAAGCATACTTTACTGCATATACAGACTGATTTTACTTTTGTGGGTTTAGTAACATTTTAGGTGTGTATGCACTCAAAAACTGTATTCATGGCCAAAAAATATTGGCACCCCTGAATTTCTGTCACTGCCCAGAAATTTGTTGTAATTACAAATGTTTGGGCATTCTCATGTTTTTCTTTTTTTTTGTATTGGTATGACACAAAAAAGTGGAGAAAAAAAGAGTCAAATCTGACACATTTCACGCAAAACCCCAAAAATGGACTGGACAAACTGTATTGGCACCCTTGATTTTTTAATATTTGGTAGTACACCCCTCGGAAAAAAATAACTGAAATCAGTCGCTTCCTGTAACCATCAATAAATTCCTTACACCTCTCTACTGGAATTTTGGACCACTCTTCTTTCGTCACCTGCTCCAGGTCTCTCAGAATGGAAGGGTTCCTTTTCCCAACTGCTGTTTTTATATTCCTCTACAGCTGTTCTATGGGATTGAGATCTGGTCTCATTGCTGGCCAGTTCAGTAATCTCCAGTGCTTTGTCCTAAACCCTTTCTGGGTGCTTTTTGAATTGTGCTTTGGGTCATTGTCCTGCTGTAAGATCCATGACCTCTGATGGAGACCCAACTTTCTGACACTGGGCCCTACAGTGCACCCCAGAATTCTTTGGTAGTCTTCAGATTTCATAATGCTATGCACATGGTCAAGACATCCAGTGCCTGAAGCAGCAAAGCAACCCCAAAACATCAGAGAATCTTCACCATGTGTGACTGCAATCTCTGTTTATGTACCGACAAATATCCCCTGTGATAGCAGTAGGCAGTGACAGGTACTCCTTCTTTTTTTTTTTTTTTTTTTTTTTTTTTTTTTTTTTTTTTTTTTTCTTTCTGATAAATCTGTGATCTTATTAGTCTGTACATCTCTCCTCTGCCCTTTAAAGATCTGATCACACCAAGATTGGTGTGATCAGATGATTTCCCAATTTTAAAATGGCACTGTTTTATATCCAGTTAAACCAAAATGATGAAATGCTTCCAGTTTTTTAGACCAGTCTATCCAGTCTCTGATCAGCTGTGTGGTCAGCCTGCATCCTTGGGTTCCCCGGTAGGACAGGTGGGGAGATGTCCCTTTCCACTGCTTGTAAAAGCGATCCAGCAGCTAATTAGCCAATAAGATTGTTTTTACATTAAAGCCAACTGCCAGGTGAAAAAAACGATACCAGGTATAAGCACTGAAAGTCCAGTAATATACCAATATTTTGCTGGTATTTTTTGGGCATATATGTAACAGAGAGCATGGGCACATGATGAATTGGGTCTGTAGACCAATAGGACCACAATTCATTTTTTTTTTTTTTGGAATGCCCATGTTGAGGGTTAGGCCCAAAAAAGTTTTAAATTCGGAAACTGTGATAGATTTCCATGTAAATTGTCTGGTAAATGCTGAATTTCGGTGTGTGGCGATGTATTGTTGTTGTGCATGTACATTGCTTTGGCCCACAATCAATTGATACAAATCTTCTGTGAAAAACGGTGGAGGGGCTAAACGCTAGTGCTGACAGCGAACGGGGCTGATCCTGCTAACGCTGTGTTTTTGGGGACACTATACTAAAGGGACACGCGTATAGTTCTGTTCGTGATCAATATATTGATCCATACAAAAACTATACTAGTATTGGCGATGATCAACGACCTATAGAGTATGGGCAATCTAATGCTAGCTGACACTGGCTGAGAGGGGCGCTAACTGAGCCTGACACTATCTGATGACGCTATTGGCAGTAATACAGTGATCAGTGAAAATTTCTATATACTGACACTGTACTAATGGCACTGGCTGGCTGACGGAATGATCAAAGTGTTAATAGGGGCGATCAAAGAGTTAAGTGTGTGTTTTGTGTGTGTTTTTTAAATGTAGTGCTTTTACTCAGTGTGGTGTTCTCTTCTCTTCCTGGACCGACACGGGGGTAGCAAGGGGGGCCCACTCACGCTCTCTCACACCTGGAAATAGCGCCATAACGGTACGTCACTTTGCCCAGAGTTGCCACTCATCCACACATTGTGGGCAGGCAGGTGGTCGGCAAGTAGTTTTTTAAAAAAAAAAAAAAAAAAAACTCTTCTTTTTTTTTTTTTTTTTTTTTTTTTTTTTTTTTTTTTTTGTTCAAGATTTTATTTATTTTTTTTTTGTAATGCAGTAGTAAACCGCAGCTTTAAAAAAAAAAAAAAAAAAAAAAAAAAATCCCCTGCAAGGTACTGTCATAATGTGCTAATATTCATCGCATCCTATCACATTATGAAGGACTTGCCTTAAAAGGAAAAGACCTCCAGCCACTGCAGAGGCTTCCATCTTCACCCGCTCTTCCTTCTGGGTTCGCAAGTTCTGGCGGTCTGACTGGCTGAGCCATGATGACGTCACTCGCACACTGGAGTCCCTGACCACGGCACAGTGCTCTGAAGGAACAACACGGGTATGCCATTCCTTCAGAGCGCATGCGCTGGCTGTCAAAAAAAAAAAGAACCCATATTCCCTAAATGGTGCACTTTTAGGAATTATTCATTTTACCTATAGGTCAATTTTATTATAAGCTTACCTGTAGGTAAAAGGTATATAAAAAAAAAATTACTAGCACTTTCATTTTTTTTTTTTCTCTTTTAAATACTTTCATCAGAGTAGTTCGATGTTACCATAGTAACTTTGTGCTACTCTGGGGGGAGGGTGATCAGGGAATTTTTTTTTTTTTTAATTGCAGGAGCAATAAAGATTATTGTAATGCTTGCTTTGAACTGTTATGAATGGGTTAAGTTCATGACAGTTCAAAAACCAGTGATCTGTGATTGGCTACAGCTAATAACATGATATAGGGTTCTGGCCCATGTACAATGTGAGAGCTGTTGGCCAATCACAGCTCATCGGGAAGAGAAGCAAAGCTGTTATGAATCAGATTGATTCGTAACAGCTTTGCTAACACTGTGATCATATAGCAAACACTGGGTCCTGACTACCGGGATCTGCATTCCGCTGTCTGGTGGACACAGCTGGCGTGCGCAGGGGGTGGAATTAGGGGTGTTGGGGGATGTGCTGCTCCACTCGGGCGCCCAGTGCCCCCCTGTGTTAGTACAGTCAGAGCAACTTAGCAGTACGTTACTCTGCCTGTAGCTGCTACCCGTCCGCAGTGCAAGTACTGCAGGCAGTCAGCAAGTGGTTAAGATTTCTGCCTTTATTTCTTTAAAAAAAAATAAATAAATTCTTCCCCCCACAACATGAAAAAATGTACATTTGTCACCTATATCTACAGTGGGGCAATTTAGTCAGCCACCAATTGTGCATGTTCTCCCACTTAAAAAGATGAGAGAGGCCTGTAATTGGCATCATAGGTAGACCTCAACTATGAGAGACAAAATGAGAATAAAAATCCAGACAATCAGTTTGGTCAGAGACATTCACACCAGTGGCCTGCTGGAGGTCATTTTGTAGGGCTCTGGCAGTGCTCATCCTGTTCCTCCTTGTACAAAGAAGCAGATATCAGTCCTGATGGGTTAAGGATCTTCTACAGCCCTATCCAGCTCTCCTAGAATAAGTGCCTGTCTCCTGGAATCTTCTCCTTGCTCTTGAGACTGCTGGGAGACACCGCAAACCTTCTGGCAATGGCACGTATTGATGTGCCATCCTGGAGGAGTTGGACTGCCTGTGCAGCCTCCGTAGGGTCCAGGTATTGCCTCATGCTACCAGTAGTGACACTTACCCTAGCCAAACACAAAACTAGTGAAAAACGGAACAGATGAGTAGGGAGAAAATGTCAGTGGTCTCCACCTGTAAAACCATTTCTGTTTTGGGGGTCATCTCATTATTGCCCATAATTTCATTAGTACCAAATAGCTGAAACTGATTAACAACCCCCTCTGCTACTTAACTGACCAGATCAATATCCCAAGAGTTTAATTAACTTGATGCTATATTCTGATTTAAAAAATTTTTTGAGCAGCGTAGTTGATGTGTGACATAGGTCAGCGTTTTTCAACCACTGTGCCGCGGCACACTAGTGTGCCGTGAGATATTGTCTGGTGTGCCGTGGGAAAAATTGCAATTTCATCCGTAACATGTGGACTCGGCTCACAAATAGACCAATCGTTAGAACAGCAATGGGCAAACTACGGCCCGCGGGCCGTATACGGCCCAGCGGACCTTTTAATCCGGCCTGCGGAGCTTGATACTGTCAGGATGATCTGATCCCCCCCTCGACGTATCTGCGCATGTGCTGGAGATCGCCGATCGGCTGCTAATGCCTGAAACTGGCACATGCGCAGATATGTCGAGGGGGACAGATCCTCATAGGAGACAGATTTTCATGCTACACCGGAACGGCGAGAGGAACGTGCGGAGCAAAGGTAAGTGAATTGACACAGGGGGGGCTTGGGGACTTAATATGGGGGATGAATTACTATGGGGGATGAATTACTATGGGGGATGAATTACTATATGGGGGATTATTAATTACTATGGGGGATGAATTACTATATGAGGGATGAATTACTATGGGGGATGAATTACTATGGGGGATGAATTACTATGGGGGATGAATTACTATATGGGGGATGAATTACTATGGGGGATGAATTACTATATGGGGGATTAATTACTATGGGGGATGAATTACTATATGGGGGATGAATTACTATATGGGGGGGATTAATTACTATGGGGGATGAATTACTATATGGGGGATGAATTACTATGGGGGATGAATTACTATATGGGGGATGAATTACTATGGGGGATGAATTACTATGGGGGATGAATTACTATATGGGGGATTAATTACTATGCTTACTATGGGGGAATATTACTATACTTACTATGGATGACACATACACATCATTCATCTACTCTTGGTCCGGCCCCCGGGTCCAATTATAAAATATTTTATTATTTCATAATAAAGTAATTATAAAATAATTTCTTTGTGTTTGATTCCTATTCAAGAGAATTACTTTATATATAGTCAATATAGGCACAGAGGTAAATTTTTTTTAACATTTTCTAATGGTGGTGTGCCTCGTGATTTTTTTCATGAAAAAAGTGTGCCTTTGCACAAAAAAGGTTGAAAAACACTGACATAGGTAGAATAATATATTTCGTGTTCCCCAATAGTGTCTTGTAGATATGCTTCCCAAAGGAAAGGTGATCCAAGTAGGACTGAGTATTGATTACTTAGTAAGGCTTGGTAGAATTGGGAGATACATTTATCTGATGGAGTAGTAATGGAAAATATAAACTCTGTATCAGCATTAGCTCTTGTATGCATCTAAGAGGTTTTGTTAAGGATCGTATAAACTGTGACAATTGGAGGTTTCGCCATGTGTCATTTGTTGAAATTGTTAGGATCTTTAAGTTCCTCCAGGTGCATGAATGAAGAATGGTGAGTAACATGGTGGTATTCATATATTGCAAATGGCCTAAATGTGAAAACCTGTGTTATGATTTGGAAAAGGTTTTGTTCACTGTAAAAGATCTGAAGACTTGTAGGCTTTCTGCACAGAGAGAACGCATGTAAAATATATGGAGCTTTAGATATAAGTGGTGCAGGAACAGGGAAATAGAACTGTCACTTGCAACTGACAGTTTTAAAGGAGAAGTGCATCTTTAACACAATTGTCCTTTAATCATTCCCTGTCCCCTGGGGTGTTTTGTAAATGTTTGTCACTCCAGTGCTGGTCACATGAACAGTGCCAAGGCATCTGTCATGTTTTTTTTTTACTGAAGACGAAGGAAGGAATGATATTATGTCAGTCAACAGATATGCCTCGGTTTTCCAGTATTCCTTTTTAGCAGAGACCTTGTGACCACATGAATGGTACCAGAGTAAATTGTTTGTAGGATTCCAAGGTAAAGGTAAATGTTTTGAAACATTCTATGCCTGTTTATAATTCTCCATTGGAGGATTGTGCTTAATGTAAGATTCTCCATCTATTTGTTACCGTGTTGAATAAGAGGAATTACTGGGCCAAATCACCTTTCTGATTTCCTGCTATTTTGGTCTCTTTTCTAGGTCTGACTGATTTTAAACCAGGGAACTGGGTTGGTGTTAAATATGATGAACCTTTGGGGAAGCACGATGGAAGGTAAGAAACATTTCTGTTGCAGGTTGGGGTAAAATTAAACTCCTAGTTTAAATTAAAATCTAGAAAAAAAATCTAGTAGGGAGATTTTTACATTTCCAAACATAAACTTTAATAATAAACCTATATGAACTCCAAGGAAAAACTAATTATTGCCCCACAGTCTGCTTTTAATTTCCCTACTGATTATAGTGCCACCTAGTGTGGAGACCCAATAGTGTAAATTAAACCGTGCTATGGAAAGATTTCAACCATGCATATAAATAAGTGTGTGTGTGTGTTTGTGTGTCTGTATAGACCAGGCATGTCCAAAGTCCGGCCCGCGGGCCAATTGCGGCCCGCGTTACGGACTGAAACGGCCCCACAGGTGAGCTACCCAAATATATAACTTACGGCCCCCGGTAGTGATTCCTTGAAAGCTACTGAGGACTCCAGCTATCTCTTGACATCATTAGCTGGCGCAGGAAGGAGAGCCCAAATCTCGCGACGTCCGAGATCTCGTGAGATTTGGGCTTTCCTTCTCTGTGTGCCGGCTGATGACGTCAATTCCCGCTCGACAGATCCCTGGAGTCCTCAGTGGCGTTCGCAGAATCGCTAGTGGAGGGCCGTAAGTTATATATTGGGCAGCTCATCTGTGGGGTCCGGAACGTGGGCCGAGGGATCTCAGGTGGTGCGCAGGGAATTACTACTGGGGCTACCATTTACCGTATTTTTCGCTCCATAAGACGCACTTTTTTCCCCCAAAAAAAGGGGGGGAAAATGTCAGTGCGTCTTATGGAGCGAATATAAAGCAGCCGGTCCGGTATTTCTGCCGCCACCATGTCAGAATACCGGGCCGGCCGCTCAGCTGTTGTATCCTGCAGGGCCTTACCTGTTCCTCGCTCCAGCGCTGCACAGTCTTCCCGCGCTGGCTTCTGTGACAGCCGGGTGCCCACTGCGCTTCGCTTTGTGAATGGTCATCGCAGTCTCTGGTCATCCTCTGTACTGTGTCAGCAGTCTCTGGTCATCCTCTGTACCGTGTCAGCAGTCTCCGGTCATCCCCTGTACCGTGTCCGCAGTCTCCGGTCATCCCCTGTACCGTGTCCGCAGTCTCCGGTCATCCCCTGTACCGTGTCCGCAGTCTCCGGTCATCCCCTGTACCGTGTCCGCAGTCTCCGGTCATCCCCTGTACCGTGTCCGCAGTCTCCGGTCATCCCCCTGTACCGTGTCCGCAGTCTCCGGTCATCCCCTGTACCGTGTCCGCAGTCTCCGGTCATCCCCTGTACCGTGTCCGCAGTCTCCGGTCATCCCCTGTACCGTGTCCGCAGTCTCCGGTCATCCCCTGTACCGTGTCCGCAGTCTCCGGTCATCCCCTGTACCGTGTCCGCAGTCTCCGGTCATCCCCTGTACCGTGTCCGCAGTCTCCGGTCATCCCCTGTACCGTGTCCGCAGTCTCGGTCATCCCCTGTACCGTGTCCGCAGTCTCCGGTCATCCCCTGTACCGTGTCCGCAGTCTCCGGTCATCCCCTGTACCGTGTCCGCAGTCTCCGGTCATCCCCTGTACCGTGTCCGCAGTCTCCGGTCATCCCCTGTACCGTGTCCGCAGTCTCCGGTCATCCCCTGTACCGTGTCCGCAGTCTCCGGTCATCCCCCTGTACCGTGTCCGCAGTCTCCGGTCATCCCCTGTACCGTGTCCGCAGTCTCCGGTCATCCCCTGTACCGTGTCCGCAGTCTCCGGTCATCCCCTGTACCGTGTCCGCAGTCCCGGTCATCCCTGTACCGTGTCCGCAGTCTCCGGCATCCCCTGTACCGTGTCCGCAGTCTCCGGCCATCCCCTGTACCGTGTCCGCAGTCTCCGGCCATCCCCTGTACCGTGTCCGCAGTCTCCGGCCATCCCCTGTACCGTGTCCGCAGTCTCCGGCCATCCCCTGTACCGTGTCCGCAGTCTCCGGCCATATCCTGTACTATGTCTGCAGTCCATTGGTTCAGAATTTTTTTTTTTCCTGTTTTTCGCCTCTAAAACCTAGGTGCGTCTTATGGTCAGGTGCGTCTTATGGAGCGAAAAATACGGTATCAATTTGGGCTATAATGGATTGGTGCTCAGGATCGCTTGACGTCATCAGACAGTGCAAGGAGAAACAAAGCCCAAATCTCGCGACCTCCGAGATCTCGCGAGATTTGGGCTTTCCTTCTCCCTGTGCTGGCAGAGTGATTTAACACCTGTTTAGATTTGTCATCCAAGTCACAAAATGAAAAGTATGCCGTTTTCAATAAACTTTTGCATAAAATAGTTCATTTGCATTTAATTTTAATGGTTCATCAGAATGTCGGGCAAAATGGTCGGCCCTCGCACATGTTCACTTCATCAAATCTGGCAATCTTCCAAAAAAGTTTGGACACCCCTGGTATAGACCATATACAGCAATTGCAATAAATACAATTATAAAACCAAACTGTGCGTGTGATAACGTAGACTACTAATGTCATAAAAAATACTATGCCAACTTGTGACAACAAAATTAAAGAGAGAAAAAGTCCTTAAATCCAGAGCAGAAGAAAGATTTACACTCCTTAGATGTAAAGGGAAAAATAGTCCCCGTTAAATCACAGTTGAAATCTTTCCATAGCTCTGTTTAATCTACACTATTGGGTCTCAGCACTACGTGGCACTATATTCACATAGAAATTTAACAGCTGGCTGTGGGACAATACATAATTAGTGTTTCTGTTGGCACAGGGTTCATATTTTTTCTACTATGCGCAACCTGATATTTTGGGTGGTTCCACTTGTCGCCATGGATGTTTTCAATTTTATAGAAAGTGTACAGTGAAGATATATGATTTAAAGGGAACATTTTTTTTTTTTCTTTTTTCCCTTTTACATCTAAGGATTGTAAATCTTTCTTCTGGTCAAGACTTAAAGCAGAACTCCGGGCAAAAACCTGTTTACTTGTTCTTGTTGCTGATTTCCTACCTTCACTGAAATGTCATCCATTTTCTGGTTCACTCAGTAGTCGCTCTGAAATAACTATTCATTTTCAAATCAAACTGCTAATTCTCTTTGGTTTCCTGTTTGTTGGACCAGTTCCTGCTGTGCATCCTATTCCCCCAGCCACTGGTCTTGGCACAATCCTTCTGTGGTTCTTTCCCCAGGAAGCAGTGATGTAATTCAATCCCACTTGCAGTGGTGGGTGGCCCGAGACTCATTCAACTTGTACATGCCTAGAGTACCGGCCCACATTTACTACAATTCCCTGTGATTGATGGGAACTGTAGTTTCCTATTTCTGCAGAGAGAGAGGAGAGGATATGATGTAATTCCTGCTGTTACACCTACTGCTTGAAAGAACAGATGCTGTTATCTTTTGAATTACAGAGATGAGGTCAAAAATGAAAATTCAATTAGAATTTTATCCTAAATGATGATAATTTGCAAAATATTATTAACTGTTTTGTGTAGGGGGTGTACTAATTGGTAATTATTTATTGCCTATCCCGGAGTTCTTCTTTAAGGACTTTCCCTTTTTTTTTTTTGGTGTCACAAGTTGACAAAGTATTTTTAATGATTTTAGTAGTCTACACCATTGTGTCAAAAACTTAATAATGTGCATCTCATTTTCTGAACCAGAAGAGCAACTAATATGCAAATTAGCTGCCCCCCATAAAGCAGTATTAAATCCCAAACTAAAAATGTATTGTATTGCAGCTTAGCAATCGTTCGCTGTATTCTGTTTTCTTTGGCTTTTTCCCCTCACCTGGTGATCTGGCCAATAACACACCTCCTGTATTAGTGAAACACAATCCTGGAGAAAGAGCACAGAAGGTGCAGCAGACACCAGCATTGTCAGCCTTGGGGGAATGGGAGCGTTAACTGTATTAGCAGATTGGAACACAATAAAAAATTGGAGCCAAGCTCCACCTCACACCTTGTAATCCGTTTCTTTTTTGGGATAGAGGTTTTACGTGAATTAAAAAAAAAAAAAAATGATCATTTTAACCCCTGTGAGTGTTTAAAATGGTTTGTCTCATCCCTGTAAACTGATACATGCTCCTGGAGAGCTTGAGCTCTGGGGGGAAAAAAAAGGATTGGTAAGCTGCTATATAATAAATGTTCACTTTTGTGTTTTATTACTGCTTTAACCAAAGACTCAGAAATATTGGTCTGCTTCTGTCCCACTTAAATGGGAAACTTTTATTATTTTTAGATATTTAAGACCGTTTAATATCTTTGTTTTACAAACCATGCATGACAAAGGATTCCCAGAGCCCTATCTATATAGCACAGCAGAAGCAATGTGCCTTATCTGAATAGGGATGAGTCATTCAGTTTTGTCTAAGTTTTTCAGCTTGAGCTACAAAGATTTGTGAACCTGCTTTTTAGGTTAGACTGCTAAGCAGTCTTTTAAAGGCACATGAAAAGAGGATATTTTTGCTGCCCAAAAACAGAAAAGAAAATATTTAATGTGATTATTTTATATGTTCTGAATTTAAACAATAAAAACAGGAGAAAAATGAGAGAAATATGTACTAAACTCCTTTTATCAGTAAAAGTCAGTGTGCGGAATATTGAGCCCCTACCTGACACTGGCAGACTGCAATACTGGGCACTGCCAGTAGGGACACCCTCTTTGTCCTGGTGACCTTTTTAGCACTGAAATTGAAAGAGAAAATCACACATTTTTAGTGGTCACCAGAACAGGAATGGAGCAGAAATCTTACAATGGACACACTAGATCTGATTACCCTAGAGACTACTAAGGATTTTCTCTTTCTTCCTTTTATGACTATATAACAGAAAGTGAAGAAAAATCTCCCCAATGGGACACAGGCAGGAAAAAAGAAACCGAGAGAAGTTATAAACCTCCAGTATTGTATACAATATGGGAAATATGATTTTGCTTTTAGTTTTACTTTTTAAGGTTTTAAACCAGAACAACTAGGCAACTAGCAATTTGGCAGAGGTCAGCAGTGTCTACATTCATCACTACAAGTTTCTTGGAATCCTTCCTATATTTTTTTGGCCAGATTGGGTGACAGTGGGTTTTCCCTGATGTAACTACTGGCCAGTCTTTGGTAAGAGTACAAGCCATTGCACAGGTTAGAAAACCCATCCAATCTCTTGTTGTCCCATGATAAGCTGGAACTGGCCACCTCCTTCCCTTCCCTCACCATTGATAGTTTGTGAAGTGCTCTTCAGTGCTTGGCATACCACTAACCCTAAGGCCTAGTACACACAATGGAAAAATCGGACAAAAACTACATGCACAGGAAGTTGTATTGGATTGTATGAGAAATTCTGTTTGCTTAGTAGCACTCCCATATTCAACACAAGATAGCATGCAAAAAAAAAACCATGAGCAATCATTTTTGTGCGATTTTATTATTTATTTATTTTCCTTCTTCTCTCATCATGTGTACTAAGCTTAAGGGGCATTGCGCCAACAAGATCTACCTGTATAATCCTATTAGTCTCTGTCTGATCAAAGATCTTCTTCTTTTTATCCAGAGTTGAAGGAAAGCGTTACTTCGAATGTGCTCAAAAGTATGGCGCTTTTGTCAAACCACAGTTTGTGGCTGTTGGGGACTTTCCAGAAGAGGATTATGGTCTCGATGATGAAATGTGACAACTTTGTGTGATTTCCTACCTTGGTGCCTCCTTGAAGTTCCATCTACAACCATCATCACGGCGTGTTTCATTCAGTGTATTAATATTGTGAGGAAAGTGATATTTTTTATTTGGTATTTGTATGCATTCATCAATGATCTTGTGCCCTTGCTCGGATAAATTGATGCTGCAGATCTGGAGCCCCTGGCATTAACCAATTTTTGTCATCGATGATAGAGGCGATTGTAAAGAACAAATCGGACTTTGCCTAAATAGCTGTATCTGTACAGACTATGAATAGAATTTAAAGGGAGACAAGCATGTGTGATCATAACATATTAAACTTAAACTTGTTTCTTATACACTTCTGCATGTTTCTGGTAATTTTGAACTGTAAGACATTCTTCTTTTTTTTTTTTTTTTTTTTTTTTTCCTTTTGCAAGAAACATTTTTTTGCAGAAACAGAGTCATGTTTGTGAGAACAGTAATCCTTCTCTGGACTTGGACATTTATACCATTTTTTTTTTTTTTTTTTTTTTTTTTTTTTTTTTTTTTTAATAGATGTTTTTTCCTAAATTGTGTACTGAAGCCAGTGCAGGTGATATGTTGTTCAGGCATGTTCAGTGAACCAATCCTCTTTATTTCCTGTGTTCAAAGTGACCAAACATCTCCCACTCCCACTGTTGACTGTCTTTTATGTTTAGAACATTATTAAACTAAAGGGATGTGGCCAATCAAATATTTACCTGTCATACCTGACCTGATATTTGCAAGCAATATCAGTTCTAACTAGAAACAATTGAGTTATAAAGTCATAACATTTATTTTTTTTTTTTTTTTACCTTAATGCATTTTTTTGTATTCTGGTTTAAAAAAAAAAAAAAAGTCCCCATAGTACTCACTTGATCTAGGTCCGTGCCTGTCTGCAGCGAGTGGGGGGTGGGCCCAAGCCTCACTGTATGTGTGTGTGTGTGTGTGCGCGCGTCTATGGATGCACACAGCTCAGAAGTGAACCTGCAGGTGTACCCCCATAGCACACAGCTTTCTATGAATCCATACTCAGGAGGAGTGGACAGTGCAAGCAGGAGACCCCAGAAGAGGAAGAAAGGGGCTACTTTGTGCAAAACCAATACACAGAGCAGGTAAGTTTTTAATGTCTTTTTTTTATTTTTTTTTTTCACCCAAAAAAAAAAAAAAATCTATCTATGCTTGTAGAAACTCTTTTAACTAACATTGGCCAAAGTGGAGAGAAAAAAAAATCATAGCATTTTTTAATTTGTTGGTCATCAGAATGAATGAGAGATGTCACTCATTCCAAACTTGTCTGTGCTTGGTCACTCTCAAGTTACACCAGCTATGTTAAAGTGGTTCTAAAGGCTCAAGGTTTTTTTACCTTTATACTCTAGAGGATATGCTTTGTTCATATTTCATGTTTGAGGTTTACAACCACTTTAAAAATTCTTTCCTTTTCAATCTGCAGCACTGTAATTTTCTGTAAAATGCAATATGGCTGCCTGGAGGTGTTCTGTACACATTGTACAGAATGCCTCCCCAGAAATGTCCTTTCCTGCTTATGTTATTGGTTTACTGCTTTTCCCCAGAAGTCAGCACTAAGATACAAGTCAGATTTTGGGAACCCCCTGCAACAAAAATATTATTATTGGTACAATACTCCTAATGGGAAAACACATCTAAAGGAATGCAGACCCTGCAGTTTTTCCTCATTAGCGCCCTATGGGTGTAGCAGCTGATTGATAATTATGAAACCACTCCCATATAGATTCACTCTGCACATGGACACAGATAAACAAAGCTATTTCTTCAGAATAATAAAAGGTAGGAATCCGCAGCAACATTTGTTAAAATCCCTACAATGTACATATATCACCTAGATGAAAATGTGTTTTTTTTCCTCTACAAAAGTGGAGTTACTCTATAAAGGTAGTGTTAATTCTAATCCAATGTGTGTGCAGCTTTATGGATGCACCTCTGCATCATTCTATAATATCCTGCAGGTTGATTGTCCTCTTTATTATGCAAGTTCTAAGTATAGGCTTTATCGATCAATGGCTTGATGAGCAAATTGCTGTCAAGTGTAGAGGTGTACACAGTTGTAGATGTATAGAGGTATACGTGTGTTATCTTACATTGTACATTGCTGATACTTTTGCATTTTGTGATTAAATGTATAGTGTGTGTGAACGCACTTCTGCACTGCTAATTCAAAGAGGAGCATTAAAAAAATGAAGTGCAAACTAGTCCTGCTGCCAATGCTATCCAGCAAACACTGCACGCATTCTATAAATATACAGTATCTTAAAGTACAACTGCACCCTTATATTGAGAACCAATATTTGCAATGAACATAGCACACTTATTAATGCAGTGATATAAATGCTATGCCTTCTTTATACAAAGTAAGATATTGCTATAGCTCGCCTAACATTATTATGTTGCTGAAATCAACCAAAATGGTGGCTACTTACATCATCTCTAAATGACCATCCAGGCTGCTATGGAGGAACCAAGTACACAGGAAGCAATTTGCTGTTCTCTACAAGTCTCAACATTCAATGCAACTTGAAAAAGAAAATTGCTAGCCAATTGACAGGTGCATTGAACAGAGGAGCTGACTGGTTAATCTTGCTTGCTTATTGGCTCACTTTCATCATTTCTGGGGACATTGGTGTTCATAACAATTAGAGTAATTCTCCCTAATGGGGACACAGGACTGCTGGCCAAATGTAAGCTCTGTGCCTGAGTGTGGACTGGGTGTACTTAATGGCATCAGGAGCAATCATCCTAATTATTCCCCAGAATCCCTCCAATTTTATTAGTCCTGTACTCAGTGTTGCACAGTGCCAACACCTGAGAAAGGGGGACCCTCAGAACCCACAGAATGCATTCGCTTTTTATGATACAGGAGTCTGAATAAAACTGAATGGACTTTATATGTTCTGCTTTGGGAGCATTCATCCACGCTTTCACAGCAATAAAACCTGACAGTGGTTCTAATCCTTTGCCACGCCAATCTAAAAAAAATGCCTTTATTATACTTTGAGGCTAGGTTCACACTAATGCGGTGCGGTACATCGCATGTGATTTGCACAGGAACCGCACCACATTCCTGTGGAAATCACATGCAATTTGTGTACATTATGTATGGCTCAAATCGCCCCGCACCCACACCAAAAAGGTGCAGGACCCTTTTTTGGGTCTGTACTAGAATCGGATTGCATGGGTATTCACACCTATGCGATCTGATTCTGCACATCGCACCACGTTTTGTGGACCCATTTTGGGGTGTTGTTAACATACACACCCACATTGGTTCGCATGAATGGGGTGCGATTCTGATGCGGTGCGGAATTCACACAGAAAACGCTGCAAATTCCGCACAGCATCAGTGTGAACCCAGCCTAAAGCAGAACTTTACTCCCTCAATTAACGTGAACTATTTTTAATCCTTATGCTTCTAACATTAGTAAATAAATAGGAAGGTATGTTATATATTCGGTATTGGATAAAACTGTCATCCATCCTAGTAGTTTTCATATGCATTTTATTTTCGTTCATTTGGAGGAGGGCTTTCTCAGCTAAGCACACCCTACTGCCTGCATGCCTGAGCTAAGGGAAGATGGATTCCAGGAAGTAAACACTACATGAATTCTTTTTCCCTTACCCTAGATTCACTCCTAAGCATATACTTGCATTGTTTTGCAGAAACGCTGTACAGTCCATTTAACATCATTTCCTATGGGACACATCTCCACATTTTCACCGGGTCCGTTTTTTGGAAAGGGTCAGGGACTTTTTTAAATGCAAAAAGTTGCATTTTTGGTTCTATAGACTTCAATGGAAACATGGCAGGAAATCTGCCTGGCAAAAATGCAGGTGCAAAACGCAATGCAGAAACGGGTCAAATGCAACTTGCATAGGTGTGAACCTAGCCTAACTCAAGATGTTTGCTGCTGTAAATGCTAGGGGGGTGCTTATCAAAGTGGTTCCTCAACAAAACAAAGCATGAAGACATGGATGGATGGGTAAATTTGCTCTGAATATTAAAAATGCATTAAATAGTGTTTTCAGTTTGTGGTGCTAAGATACAGTTAAGTTCCACTTTAAAGCAGTAATATACTCAAAACCAAACATTTAATATATTGCAGCGTACTAACTCTTAAATGTGGTGGCTGCTTTAGTTGACTTTTTTTAGGCTTTCCCTGTTTTCACCTGGTGATATGGTCAGTAACACATCTCCTGTATTATTGCCTACACTCTGGAAGAAGGAGCAACAGAGACAACTTTGGGCAGCAGCACTGGTAATCTGGGGCGAGTGGAGTGTTAGAAGTACTAGCAGATTTAGATACACTAACAAATTAAAGCTGACCTCCTTTGAGATAAAGGTTTTACATGAACAAAATTACAAGTGTAAGCACCCTTTGCCAGGGTTCAATTGTTTGTCTCAGCCATCTGCTACATCTGCATGACAACTTGTTCTATCTGCATAGCTGTGATCAGCAAGTCTTTTAAAAAAACAATTGTAACAGTTGCCTGCTTGTGGCTTCTCTTTTGCACATTGTGTCACAATTTGCTCTCTCCTGTGTATTCTGCACAACCAATGTCTTCTGATCCCGACAGCTTTATCCCCCCATCTGTACCAGCAGCCACAGCATGTTGTGGAGTGCGAGCACATGTGTACATCCCCTCTGCTACTTTTGCAGTTTAAACAGGAGTGGTTTGGTAGGGGGGGGGGGGGCAGCAAAAACAAAAGTGGCTCAGCTGCATGTTTTTACCACCTGCAACCACAAAGTTGGGAGTGGTAAAAACATGCATGAGTTGTTACAGCTTATTCTTATTGTTACAACTTATTGCACTATTACTTTTTTTAAATCATGCTGCATTTTTACACAACATGTACTGTATGTAAGTGTCAAATTTATCAATATACTTGTTCAGAGCATATTTCAAACCTCAATCTAAAACCTTTAATTCAGATTTGAGAAAATGTAGCATTACTTA